TTCACCGGACTGCACAATTTGTATTTTCTGCCCTTGTGCAGATACATCTGGATAACCACGTCCTGAACGGTTGAATCTACCTGAATAAAGGTTTTTGCCAATCGCATCCAGATAAGTTGCAACGGCACTTTGTTGCCACGAGGGTTGGTCAAAGTAGTTGGAAAACCCTCCAGCGGAGAGATCTGCACCCTTTTCTGGGATGTTTTCAGTGGCACCCACCAAGGTCGCGCTGGACCAAAGTGGTGAGAATTGGGAATTCGTGGACATAAGTCACGGAAAAGGAAACTTACTATGGGCAAGTTGGCCAAGCAGCCAAGAATGGTTCATTGTCACATTCCGCGCCAGGTGACGAGGCTACACCACCATCTCCAGTAGCATACAAAATCGAAACTCCACGTGCAGTGAGCTTCATGAAGGCGTCACACATAGCACTACAGAAATGCAATGAGATCGAACCATTGAAGTAAAAACTGAGCCAGCGCCTCAATGTGCTCACAAGGTTAAGGATTTTGACAGTCCGCTCTCGTCTGCAGCAATCCCGTAACTAGTCGTCAAAACCAAGGGAGGATTTGATTCCGCCAGAAGGTCATTGACAATATCAAGGAAGCCGCCATCATCGCCGTCATGATTCGAATTCCCAATGTCGACGAAAGTGACGGGAATACCATTTGCCATGCCCACTGTGTACTGAATATCCAAATTCTGCCCCAAGCATGATCAGACTACTTATTGTCACAGACAAAGAATACTTACTGCCTCAGTGCCTGCATCAGATATGTTCTGGCTGTTCGTTGCGTCATCGAGCAGTTGAGTCGCGAAAGTTGTGTTAGAAGGCATATCTGTCCTAAAGAGCTTGAAGAAACTCTTCAAGTCGGCCTATATGGCGCTTAATAACTCTGATTTCTTGTCAAATGACTTGAAGAAGACACAAACCTTATTAGCATCCTGGCCCCCGAAGGCGGAAACTGGAATATAACCCAAATGATCAGCATTAGTCAAAAGCTTGTCATTCTTTTACTCACCCCCTATAGTGCTATTCGTCGTGGATTTAATCGGCGTCGTAGGTAGACCATACAGCGATTGTAAACACGCGGGTGTTACAGTGTCGTTACATTTTGAGAAATCCGCTGTGGATAGGGGGATTTCAGCACTGGAGGTAGAACTTGAGGAAGCTTTGTTCACGTCTCCAGACGTTCCAGATGTTCCGTATGATCCCGACTTGTGGTGGCCGCTCAGGGAGATAACCCGGTTACCAGTCGAATGATAGAATCTGTAATACAAGAAACGCGAAGAAATGTGTAAGTGATACTGAAGACTTGATTCAATGAACGTGCATGCACGCGGAACCGCTGCCGCCCAGCGCTGAATATCTGAACCAAGACAACGTTGTTCTCGAAATTTCAATGTGATTGCACACTTACGAGGTAGTCGGATGAATTGCCCTGATGTGCTCTTGTAAATCATCCGGTACACTATATTCCAACGTCCTCATGAATTGCTTCCCGCTAGCAGTATGTTCGTATACGTTGTAGTTCGCGTTGAGCATAGTATTAGCAGTCCCCACAGGAATACTAAATTGTATCCAATCCCCTGAGGCGGTCACCGATTTGGAATCGATGTTATTTGATGAAAGCCACTTGTGTACGGAGTAGAGAGCATCTCGGGATGGAGCGGCGTAGTATTGAATCTACATATTGCAAAAAGGATCATGTGCGGCGGCGGCAATGGATGAATGATCAAGTCAAACAGACAAAGATCAACTCACGTCTTCTTTAGATAACCACTGCCCATAACCCTCGTTTTCTGGATCACTAGCCTTGCTCAACGCGTCCTCGAGGCCTGTTCGGTTCCCCATAGTAAGACTGATCCGCATTTGAATCATGGAATCAAAGTTGGCAACATCGACAGGAGAATATCCTTTAGGTACAGCATCCCGACGATCGTGTACGGACATTGCTCGAGTATTGATAGACGCGCCGTGGGTGACTGCAGTAGAGGCGAGTGACACCATTAGCTGCAGCATAGGCCAATTGGTCCATGATGAAGAGAAGATCATCCTCTATTCAGGTGCAGGATATAACCAGGGAGTGAAGAGGAGCTCAAAGAGAAAGCAAAAACACGAGGGAGAGGTGAAGAAAAAGAGAATGGATACAAACTTAGTTTTATGCGGGTCGTGTATGCCACTCACCCCTAACCAATTTAATATCCGCTTCAAGAAACGAAACAGCGTCCTCCACAGCGCTCAGAGCGCCGCGTGCAAAAGTGAATGAACCAAGTTGATTCATTGCAGTGCTTGTGTCTCTCGAAATTTCGAATTTGGTTGAGAATTAACATCGAATCATCAATTGTATACATACCCTTGATATTTATCTTTCAGAAAGATGGGTTGCAACCGACAACGGTAGTACGCTTTCCGGCATCATTGATAATAATCCAACCGATCATGAACGCGAGCTGGGCGTGGATTCGGCACTGCCTATCCTCGCAAGGACACAGACTGCCTGCTATTGGAAAGAACGCTGAATAGCATTTAGATTTTACTTGAGACACAGAATTTTTCACAATCGCGACTCGGAGTCCAGCCCTGTCCTGCAGTTGGCTTGAGGACAGGGAGTCAAAACTCAGAGTCTGCTGTGAGTTGAAGACTAGCGTTGGGGCACTTACTTTTTATAAGTTTCGTAGGAATAAAAGCAATATTTTGGAGCGTACTAGGACGTATATCGGGTTGACGGGGTAGAACGGATTTTGTAAAGCGGTGACACGGCCCGGGATGAAGCTCCTCTCGATATATATGGCACAATCTAGTGTCGTGAAAGGCTCTGTAACGGATCGAGACGGACTAAACTTCAGGCTTATCGTAATTCATGATGGGCCATGGTAATTATTGTTGAGAAAGAAACATAATCAAAGGAGATACATGTTCCACTTCATGACACTGTTGCACTCGTATAAGGCGGCTCGAAAGTTGAGATGGTTACAGAAACTGAGCCTCGCATTGCCTTCCCCGGTACTGTTTTTTGCATTGTTGTCAAGGCTCTTCCCTCAATTCAGAATGAAATAGAACTGTACTACAGCTTTGCACAGTGAAGAGAGTTTCTAGTTGCTCAAAGGCCCAGTGAGGTGGTTGAAGGTGTCCAGATTAGAGTACAAAAGACATACGGATGTTGGAATTGTTGCTCGATTTTCAATCAATATCATATGATTCCAATTCGGAGGTATTCATATGAAAACAATATGCCGTGCTTACAGTGATGAGAACGAACACTGCCGACGGTTTGCTCTTCAAAATATCTAAATTTGGGATGTAAGCAGTGAGGCCTACGTGCGATATCATGAAAGTCAGTCTACTTAAGAGCATCTGCTGAATATCATACATGCTCAACAATTGTTCGTGGATTATAAGAATTTGGTAGATATCGATACAAGGAATATGAGCATATAGTATACAAGGCAATGGGAGAGTATGGATGCAGACCCGTTATTTGAAATGGTCTATACAATGTATATTTTGTGATGGAAGGGTCGGTAACAGAAAGTTGGTTCATCGGTGGATTGACCAAAAATGTTTTCCATCGAGCGCAAGGAGTGATCACCGAATATAGCAGATCTCATGTGCTTTCAGCAACAACACGGAAAGGGGATGATAAAGCAACATCCGCCATCCTTTTGCATCAATGATTAGCTCAAGCCCTTATGCTTCAACTGACTGGACTCACCGGACAAGGAATACAGCCGCCTCTCAATCTCTGGACTTCTTTCGAACCTCTGTTCGACCGTTGTCGCTCTTCGGTGCTCATCAACGACATGGATCGAGTCGCTGGTGGTTGCTGTACAACGACGGGTGCGGTTGGAAGAATGGCGGAAGAGGCTTTTCTGAATATATGCGCTGAAGGCGGATACGTTGGTGTTATGGGGGGCATATTTCAATGTTGGTGAGCGAGAACGATGTTCTAGCTTTATAAACTGCGGCAAAGTGTATGAACTCATTGATGACGTTGATTGTGGCGCAATTTTAAGACTGGATTGAGCAAAGTTTTGGTAGTAAATTTAAAGCATTGTGATTGGGCAGTTAATAGCCACTGATACAGACATATACACTTTCTTCGTCCGACCAACCGACAACGAAACCTCCGGTCACAATCAGTTATCACTTTGCTTCTCCTACCAAAGTTTCGACAATCTCCACTGCGCGTTTAAAATGAGCTTTCTGCTCGAGAGAGGGCTGGACGGTGCTTGAGCTAGAATATCGGATGACGTGAGCATAAAACGGGTAGTAATAGCCTCGGATGGAAAAAAGGGAGAGTGAACGATATTCTGACTAGAGATATCGATAAGAGAAGCAGATTTGACGTGAACTATCCTGCATTCTCAGAGAGTCGAGTAATTTATAGGTGTTCAGGTAGAATCCGGATCACAGCAAAAGGACTAGAGAAAGAGATAGAAACACACCCTGGCTGCCCATTAACACCGTTCATCCCTCCGTTTATCCACTGTAGATCGTCACTCCCCCAAAAGATACTGGTATCTAATCCATAAATGTCTTCAGAACCCGGAGGCTGCTCAGTAGGCAATTCTTTCAAAATTCCATAGAGTTCATCAACAAGTGCCTCTGTTGATAGCGAAGAGCCTGTAGCTTGAGCACTATAACCCAGTGTCCTTGGAGCAAAGCTTTGGAGGTCAGGAGTTCCATCAGGTCTGGAGGCCAAAGTGATATTGAGTGTGTCAGAGTCGACTGGTCGAGTGATGGTTGCGATGAAGGAAGGTGTGGGAGGTGCGAAGCCACCGGTTATACCTCGAAGATTGTCAACATAAGGATAAAGACAATGGACTAGATTACATACCTTTCTGCAGGCGAAGGGAGTATTCTCTGAGAGCCATGGTTGACTGGGTGACGGTAAGCCTGCAACGGTATAATTGGTACCAAGATAAGGACCGGAACTTGCATGAAAGTAAACTACTTCAATATTTAAATCGAACATACATAATGCTATGCAGTCCGATCCAATGTGGTGTAGTGGTTAACATTGCTGTCCTTCACTATTTTCAATACTTTGCACAGCAGCCCAGGGTTCGATTCCCCGCATTGGAATGAATAAACCAAGTATTGTTAGAACATTCAACGTTATCCACTGATATATATTGTTATTTTGCCTTTAGAACTCATACAGAATGGGTGTCCTTGGAGAATTTGGAGTGTGTTAGAAACCAAATACCAATGTGAACAGACATATCATCGTTTTCTATGAGATGCGTAACAGATGATATTACGAAGATACTCGACATTCTCTATGTAGTCTGGAATCAGGTTACATGCGCCTTTCCTCACCAGAGCAATCCAATGGATAACCAACATTTTGTAGTGCGCGTCAAGTAGCCCTGCACCAGGAATAGAACCATTTATTATGAGAAGATATCCACACATGATGATAAACGTACCATACATCCACTGTACGCCTTCACCAGTCTATTATCTGAGTTTGGCGAAAAGCTTCGGTGCAGCGCAACCTTCGGCGCAGTGCATCATACTAGTGGGGAAAAATCGGGGAGTTAGGTAGTCAGAGTACTGCAAGGTGTGTAAAAAGGGAAGAGGACGTACTGGACTGGTGGATGTCAAGAGAAAGAATAACAAGTCGCGTAAACGTTGTAAAGAGCGATTCCGAGTACACAAAACAGCAATGAGAATAACGAAATAATGTTCGGGGAATTAGAGAAATTCAGAAAAGCTTGACGCGACAGAAGAACTACAACGTACACCTGTTAGAAAGCAATGTCAATCAGACATAGGTCATTCACGATAGCATTCGAGTAAGAGAACGCAGGTCCGTTGTGATTAGCAACATACATTTCTTCTACGCAATCCTCTCCTTTGAAACCCTCACCAGCCTGAACTTTTTCCTGACAATGCTCAAAGTGTTTTGCTAAAGGAGCACATTTTGCCGAGTTCTGGCACTCTTCGCGAATGGCTGGGTGTGACTGAGGTTGAAATATAGTGTACATAAATGCAAAGTTAGAAGTGGTGAGAAATGAATGAACATACATCCTCAGCCTCCTCTTCCTCCTCTTCCACTTCAGCAGGTGCTTCCTCCGAATCACTGGTTTCCGAGTCAACCTGTGCATTGTTTTCATCTGCGGGCTTTTCCTCAGCAGCAGCATCGGCTTGGATGGTTGGTAGGAAGGAAGAGAAGAAAGACGTGATTGAGCTCATTGTTATTATGTACCTTTCGGTTATAAAGGAGGGTTGAGGAAGGGGGAATGGAAGCGGCAAATTTCGGAACGAGGTGTGGGACATTCAGGGCGCTTACAGTACAAGGTGTCTTTTCTGGTCCTGAACGACTTTTACTCAATTATGTTTCCACTGCAGTGAATAATACATGAAAGTAGCCAAAAAGGACTGGTGCGTGGTCAATGCATGAGCACTTAAAATCACGGGCAGTAAAGGACTATCGCAAGCACAGTGATCTAACTGCCAGGCGTCGAGTGGTACAAACTGATGCAATTTTTATCAACAATGATCCAGCTTCTTGGTTCCACGAGGTTATCTTGCGGCCTTTGTTAGTCTTCCTTCCACGATTCGCTGATTGTCTTGAGATATTTGACGATCTTTCTTGAATAGAGATGACCTCAAGTTGAACAGGAATGAACTAGCAGCGAAAACAGCTTCGTTTTGCCTCCCGATTTCTCGATAACAGCATAGGAAATGAGTTGGATTTTGGGACAGCGCTAATTAGCCATCAGCATGAAGGCGGGACGTAACCACACTTCAAATACATCCAGATTGTAGCCTTTAAATCCAACTTTACAGGTTTTACTGCCGTTATGCAACTCTTGGAATCCATTTGTCGATAAACACCTGGATGCATTGAGGTAAAGGAAGAGGGGGTCGAGAACAACAAATCTACAGGACGACGGAGGAGAAGGGGTGACATCCATCGGCGTCGACCTGACTGATCCTGGCACTATATCGTGCCTCCTATATCATTTCATCATCAGAGTAATAACAAACCAGTCACTTGGTGGCTTAATATATATAGCAAGTATTTAAAAAGGTCCGTCCGCTTATCTTGGATATTGATTTATTCCTCAATAGTTCCTTAACACTGCTGGCAGTGGTAAAATTTCCCCTTCTTGCTCTTACTGCTCAATCGCTAGACGTCTTTAATTGAAACGCTCGTGTCGAGTCCATTGCCTCAAATATTATCTTGACTACGACATTTACTCGTTCAATAACAAACATGAAAAGGTTATTTCTACGGCTCACTCTTTCACCAATGCGTTCGGGAGGTGTTGCTTTCATTGTCTTGTGCCTCCTTGCCGCTATATGTAGCGGAATTCCTCTCACCCCTAAAGTAAGTGTTGTTGGACACTCTCGGTGACATATTCTGATTCTCGGTTGTCTTTCCAGGCCGACGCGAGCTCTGTAGTGAATAATTCACAGTCTGGAGTAGTAATCATCCGGGCACCAGTTCAGACGTCGCCCAAAAGCCTCAAAATCACCTACCCTAAATCGGAAAAGAAAGCCTCCCAAGTCGATCCTTACACCAACAAACTAGCTCAGGAAAATATAAAGAAAATCATCTATCACAGAGAAGCTTTGGCCAAATTGGGTGTGATACTTCCGCCAGACAAAATTCCTGAAGCTGCTTTCACGGATAAGGAACACGAAAGAGATCTTGAAAATTTTGTCCAGTTCATTTTTGACGATTACCCCTATCCTTCTTTGGACGAAGCTGATAATGTCAGTTACAATGGGCATACGGCGTCATTTTCTGTGGTCGACCTGGATCGTTGGATGTACAAAACGATTGCTACCGGAAAAGCTGGACAAAGTCGGATCCGAGGGGTTTATGGTGAACTGAAGGAAACTAGAAAAGATGCGCAGCCTTACAAATATCAAGAGAGGGCGGTACGCATCTTCAAATCCACTATCTCTTATATCTAGTGCTGATTATCGTCCTTCAATGTCGTCGTTCAGCTGACAGTGTAACGGGCCAAAGCCAAACTATTATTTTGGATAGAGCTCTGTGATAATGATAAAATTCTCGTGCAATCTACTAAAGTGGAGGAATTTGTGCTCTACATACTAAGAAATTGGGATTGGAAGGCGACTTTTGATATGTCATACTAAATAAGTATCGAACCTCCGTGAGGCGCACAACTGAATATAGTGGGTGCGAAAACGAGATCTTGAAATATATACGGAAAACGGAATTTGAAAGTTTGAAGCTATACGTGTATCAAGCAGCTGGAAACGTCCGTAAACGGACAACATGGATGAATGGAGATAGGAAGCAAAACCATATGGTGAGTCTCGTATACCGCTATTCTCGACATGATCTATCTCAGGCTTAGCAACATTAAGATGTACAGTATCGCAGGAGGTATAGGATAATTCTGGCAGAACTACGAGGGATAGTATGACGGCAGATTTCGTTCAAAATTCCATACTCTCCGATTGATGCGCGTGATGCATCAGATGTTGGTTGTCCGGCAATTGATCATTGGTCTCCGGCGACTGATTGTTGGGCTCCGGCGATTGATCATTGGCCTCCGGCGCTTTGTGCGTTGGACTCAAGTGCTTCTAATTTTAAACAGTAAAAACATTCAATAAATTTCGACGAATTTCTATTGACAATTGATCAAGTAGTAGATTTCAGCCTGATTCCGGCTCAGCAATATAAATTGTCATACCTCTCAGAGGATTTGGAAAGAGAATGATGCAAAGAATTTGTTGAGCTTCTCAGCGAACTACTAAGAGATGCTACGTTGTATATGATTTCAGAGTATAATAATGGGGATTGGAATTGTACAAGCTGGTTTTCCATGTCATTTCTTTGCAAGGAATATTTAATATTTCAATCCTAGGATGAACTGACATATGGTATTTACCATTTCTAGAAGACCACTGAACCATCTTATTTATATGCACATTTGTATATTTCTCCAAGTCTATCTTATATGATATATTCTCTTGCTACTAGTCAAGTACACACATGAGGAGAAATAGTGGGTTAATTTGCACTACCACTAAATTAGATAAACTTCGGCATGTGATTGAAATCAGTGCTGGGTACTTGCTGCTAGGCAGAGGCTAAATCTTGATCACTGGAGGTAAACACTCATGTGCTAGAGGGTTAATGTTAAGTCACCTTAAGACTAAGACTAAGATGCTGCAGGACCAAGACCAATGTGTTACCAATAATTAATTTGAAGTTCAAAATGGAAGGTTTTGATGGAGGCAGATGGTGGAGACAGGTTTTGCTGGGAACCAAAGCCGACGACCAACGGAAACGAGGACAGCAGAGAATAATGAACGAAAACCGCCTTCATAGGATAGTCGGTACTGACGTTTAATCGTAGTCAATTGAGAAACTTTTTTTTTCGTCCGTCGCCCGAGGAGACAAGTGCCGAAATTTCACGTGAGCTAGCCGCATGGCGTTAATTTCAGCTTACTCCTTCTTCAGCACTTACGCGCTAAATCATGGTACTTGTTCTCGTCCTTGGAGATTTGCACATTCCGCATCGAATACATGACCTCCCACATAAGTTCAAGAAGCTATTGGCACCTGGTAAAATTTCCCAAGTCCTTTGCACAGGAAATATTTGTGACAGAGAGACAATGGAATATCTGAGGTCAATAGTTGGAGGAGCGGAGATACAAGTTGTCAGAGGAGACTACGACGAGGTAGGTTCATTCGACCTAATATTTAATTGTATTCACACAATTTTAACTGCAGCTTCCTGGACTCCCCTCATCGCTAACAGTAACCCACTCGAACAACTCTCTGCGTATAGGTCTAATCCACGGCCATCAATCGCTTCCTTTGGGCTCGCTGGACGCTCTTTCTGCCATTGCGCGCCAGATGGATGTCGATTTTCTTATTTCTGGTGCCACGCACGCTGTTCAAGCTGTGGAGTACGACGGAAGATTCTTCTTGAACCCCGGGACAGCAACCGGTGCTTGGACCGGTGCTTGGAACGGCTCCAAGCCAGGATTTGCTATTTCATCCAACGAAGGAGTCAAGTCAGCAAGCCTAAATGGTGATCCAATACCAAGCTTCGCTTTGATGGATATACAAGGAACAGTCGTGG